TGTTTTCTTTCTTTCTTGAGATTTTTGAGGTTCATGAGACCAATGTGCTCTGTTTTTTTTTTTTTTGAAGATTGAAGACTGCTTTTGGAGGGTTTTTTTTGTTAATGTTCTACCAGTTCTTGCACAATTTATAGTTCATCTTTGGTGTTGTGATTTGTTCTGATTTTGATAATCAAATAAGTTGTTGAAGATTGTTCGGAGAGAGTCCTATAAGTAAGGAATACATTTCTATTGGTACAAGGCCTTTTGGGGAAGCCTAAAGCAAAGCCATGAGAGCTTATGCTCAAAGTGAACAGTATCATACCATTGTGTAGAGTCGTTATTCCTAACATGGTATTAGAGTCATGCCCACAACTTAGCCATGTCAATAGAATCCTCAAATGTCGAACAAAGAAGTTGTGAGCTTCGAAGGTGCAGTCAAAAGTGACTCTAGAGAAGGAGTCGAGCCTCGATTAAGGGGAGGTTGTTCGAGGGCTACACATGCCTCAGGGAAGGCTCTATAGTGTACTTTGTTCCGGGGGAGGATTGTTGGGAGGGAGTCCTATAAGTAAGGAATACATCTTCATTGATACGAGGCCTTTTAGGGAAATCCAAAGTAAGGCCATGAGAGTTTAATACTCAAAGTGGACAATATCATATCATTGTGAGAGTCGTTCTTCCTGACATAAAGGATCAAGCTAAGGTCAGGCTGTTGGTTGTCCACAGGCTTAGCTAAGCCTAAGCTTTCTCAGTCCTAAAAAGTCTGGCTAAACTCTTGATTTGAAGCTTCTCTCTATAAGATTACACTGATTCTTTTGCTTCTCTGAATTCTAAGCTATTTGATTCGATTCTCTTGAGCAGATTGGACTTAGTGGAGCACTAGAGACACTGTGGCCAAGCGTTTGGTGCCAAACAATATGGGAAGCTCGGCTTGTATCTGCAAGCCTCTTGCATTGTGTCTTTGTTCTTCTTTGTTATCTTATCTGTCTTATGGTTCTACACCGAGTCTCTCCTTATTTTACTCCATCAAGACCCTGCCATATCAAAACTTGCTGCTACCTATGTCAAGTTTCTAATTCCAGGCTTATTTGCTCATGGACTTCTGCAAAACCTCCTGAGATTTCTTCAAACTCAGTCTATTGTTGAGCTCTTGGTTGTCTTCTCAGCTGTGCCTATGTTCATCCACATTTGTACAGCATATGCTTTGGTGAATTGGACGTGTCTTGGAATCAGGGGACCTGCCTTGGCATGTTCCATTTCCTTGTGGATATCTTGCTTGATGTTGGGGACATATATGTTTAAGACAAACAAGTTTGAGCAAACATGGGAAGGATTTTCATCTGAATCTTTGAGCTACTTCGCTCGAACTAGCCATCCCGTCTGCAGCAATGGTTTGGTAAGCACCCTTGACTCTTTATCGTTGTGAACTATAATCTGTTAGGAATCACGAAGCTCTACTGATGTGATATTGTTCACTTTGAACATTAGCTCTCATGACTTTACTTTTGGTCTTCCTAAAAGGTCTCGTACCAATGGAGATGTATTCCTTACTTATAAACCCATGATCATTCCCTTAGTTAGCCAATGTGAGACTCCCTCTTAACCATCCTCAACAGTCCTCCTCTCGAACAAAGTACACTATAGAGCCTCTCTTGAGGCCTATGGAGCCCTCGACTAGTCTCCTCTTAATCGAGGCTCAGCTCCTTCTCTGGAGTCCTCGAACAAAATACACCATTTGTTCGACACTTGAGTCACTTTTGACTGGCACCTTCTAAGCTCACAACTTATTTGTTTGACACTTGAGCATTCTATTGATATGATTAAGTTAAAGATATGGCTCTGATACCATATTAGGAATCACGAACCTCCACAATGGTATGATATAGCTCTCATGACTTTACTTTTGGTTTTCCCAAAAGGTCTTGTACCAATGAAGATGCATTTCTTACTTATAAATCCATGATCTACACCATATAGCCTCCCCTGAGGCCTATGGAGCCCTCAAACAACCTCCCTTTAATCAAGGCTAGACTCCTTCTTTGGAGCCCTCGAACAAAGTACACAATTTATTCGACACTTGAGTCACTTTTAACTACACCTTCAAGGCTCACAACTTCTTTGTTTGACATTTGAGGATTCTATTGACATGGCTAACTTAAAGGCATGACTCTGATACCACGTTAGGAATAACGACTCTCCACAATGGTACGATATTGTCAACTTTGAGCATTAGCTCTCATGACTTTACCTTTGGTTTTCCCAAAAGGCCTCATACCCATAGAGATGTATTCCTTACTTATAAATCCATGATCACCTCCCGACAATCCTCGACATGATCCTATACGTGATCTGGAAGGAGCTTCAAGTATTGGAATACCTTAATATCTTACCCCTTTTGCTGTTTAAATTCATGTAGTTTGGAGTACTGGGCCTTTGAAATTTTGGTGTTCTTGGCTGGGGTGATGCCAGACTCAGAAATAACTACCTCACTAATTGCAATGTGGTACTTATCTCTACTCTTACACTGTTTCTATGACATAAAAACTCTCTTTTACTCATTCGTATGAATCAATTTGATCTTCCAATACTACAGCGACAATACCGAATGTATCACCTTCACTATCACGTACGGCCTAAGCACTGCTACAAGGTACACAACTAGAGATTAGCATTCATTTTGTTGTGTTCTGTTCTCTGTAAGACTGAGAATAAGCCAAGAGTGATACTCGTGTCAGCACAAGGGTGGCGAATGAGCTCGGTGCAGGCAATTCTAGCAAAGCTAAGAGAGCTACGTTCGTGTCTCTTGAGCTATCTCTCCTCCTCATGCTCGTGGTTCTTCTAGCGTTAGGATTTGGACATAGTATCTGGTCTAGCTTCTTCAGTAATAGTCCAAAGATAGAGAAGGAATTTGCTTCAATGGTCCCTTTTCTTCTGCTTTCAATACTCTTGGATTCAGTACAAGGAGTGGTATCAGGTACAAATACGGCCATTCCTCTCCATTTGCTTCCTAACTAAACTAATGCTTTCTTTATGATATGCTCGATATGCTCGATTCCAACGCAGGCGCGGCAAGGGGCTGTGGGCTGGCAGCATTTGGCTACTTACATAAGCCTCCCGATGTTCTACGTCATCGGGCTCACGACGTCGGCCGTTCTTGGTTTTCATTCAAAGCTATACGCCAAGGTAAATGATTTGCTAGCTAGCACACAGAAGAGTAAGGTTGTGATGGGGTTATGAAAGCTTTGATTGCTTTGTGCAGGGCTTATGGATTGGCTTAACTTGTGGCCTTGCCTGCCAAACTATTGCCCTTTTGCTGGTAACATTTAGAGGAAAGTGGGAAGGAATAGATGTAACAGGAAACAAAACCAGCTGCTTGGGAAAAGAAACTCCTGTTCTTCATTGATTCGAGTTTGAGTAGCGACATCGTCTCAAAAATATTGTCCATATGCTTGAAAGAAGAAGAAACTTATTTAAATGTCGGACCACTTTCTTGTAACATACTACAGCCCCAGGTGGCAAAGAGCTGCATCGAAGTGCCAAACCTTCCCGTCGATGTGAGTTCTTGGGGAAGATCAACCTGTTATCCTTAGAGTAACTTTTATCCGTTGAGCGACGACCCTTCCACTCGACACCGTCGGATCACTAAGGCCGACTTTCATATTTTGTACGAGCATTTAATGAAATATTTTTAAAATAACACTTTTTTTTATCATTAATTTAGTCTATATATTTTAAAATTTATGATTTTTTAATTTTAATACGTTACAACTTATTTTTGAAGTATAAATAAATTTATCGATTCAAATATACATAAAAAAAAAAAAAAAATTAGCAATATTTTTGTGGGTCCCACCTTAACGCCCACCAAATTTTAAGAAGAGGTATGATGGGTTTACTTTCTATAAATGATTTAAATTTAAATAAAACTCTAATTATTTAAAGTTATTATGAGGTGGAAAATAATTAACTTAAAAATAAATTATTGAAATTTTTTATATTTTCATTTTTTAAAAAGTTATAAATTTTAAAAATGAGAAAAAGAAAAATATTGTTAAGTTGTATCTAAAGATCGTGTGTATTTTTAAAATAAAATATTAATGTTATCCTTTTTAAATTTTAATAATATTTTTTAAAGATAAAAAAAATATATTTTTTAGTATTTTTGTTTTTAAATTAATAAATATTATTTAAAACGTTTTAAATCAGGTTTTATAATCATTCCCTCTCTAAATTTTGCTTAATTTACACTAATTTTTTTTAATTAAATGAGGGAATTAATAATATAATTTATGATTCCAATTATAACAATCTATTCTGGAATTAATAAAAACAACAAATCACAAAATAGAGAAAAAATCAAGATATTCAGAATTTAATAATTATATTTTTTATTTTAAAAATTAAACGTCAATTTTAAAATTTAACGAGAAATTTAAATATATTATTTTGATTATGGAAACTAAAAACCAAATTCTCATAATATTAATATTATTTGTATTATCGGTATTTTTAAAATATAGAAATTTTTTTAAAAATTTAAAGTTATTAATAAATTTTTTGAAATATTGTTTAACCACTTTTCAAAGTTTAATTTTTTTATAAATAAAATACTAAAAAAATAAAAATAAAAGTATTTTTAAATATTTTTTCTAAAGTTTAAAAATATTATCGCAACTTTTAGAAATAAAAAAAAAATTTTTTTAGACAAAATACAAAATTTATACTTAATTTATTCCATATTTAAAAATTGTTAAATTACCATTTTAGCCCTATACTTTATACTTTTAATTCAACAAGTTTCCAAACTTTAGATTTTGTAATTATTATAGAATTGGAACTTTTAATTTTAATCAGAATTATTAGATAGACAATTAAAATTTAATTATTTTTGAAATTAGTGGAGTAAATAAAATAATTAAATATTAATTAATTATTGAATTATAAAATAAAAGAAATGTTAAAAATGGTAATTTGGACTTTATTTCTTTTCCATTTATTGGAGATTTTTTGAACCTTCGTCCAGAGAGGACTCTCCCACGTAATCTATAAAAGCAGGGTTTGGTGTGAAATGGAGAAGCGGGAAGAAGATGGAAGATCGCAGAGAGCCATTGTTGGAGCTTGGATTCGAAGCAAAACAATGGAGATGGTGGAAGAGAGGGTTGGATATGGAGGAAGCAAAGCTTCAACTTCTATTTTCACTTCCATTGATTCTTACAAATGTATTCTATTACATGATATCTCTCGTCTCTGTTATGTTTGCTGGTCACCTTGGTGAGCTCGAGCTTGCTGCTGCTACTCTTGCTAGTACTCTGGCTAGCGTCACTGGCTTCGCTTTCATGGTACCTCTCTCTCTCTCTCTCTCTCTCTCTCTGATTTCATGATTTGGTGAAATGGATCTTTTAGCTCTCTTTTTTATGCTGATAAGAGATGAAAAATTGGAAGAAATTGAGTTTACAGCGGCTAGAAACTCACTTTTCTTCTTCTTCTTGGGGATGACTAACTTTCTGCCATTGCTGTCCACCAAGCTTGAATCATTGGAATTCAGTGCTTTTTTTCGATCAAAATCCGAATGAAAATGGAAGGAAATTGTCTATTTCTGCTTCATCAATAGATTAACATATGATTGTGCAAGATTCCTTGTCAATAGCAAGTATTGGATGACTGAAAAGATTGTTGAAAGTAGGTAAAGATTTACATGTTTAATAGTTGAACTTTGATGGCTAAATGATGATTAGTGGTTAGCTGATTTGATTAGAGAGATAAGTTTAGAAACTGGATGTGATCAATTGAGCCCTTAAGATATGTTGAATATGTTAGTCTATTTTGTCCAGTTTTTCATTTTCTTTTGCCATTTATGTCGATCGCTTCAACCAAATTGATATGGTCGAAACGTTTTAAAGTGTAAGGACCAAATAGACACAACTACGAAAGTTTAAGGATCGAGTTTGCTATCTTAAGCATATGAGGCCGATGTATTAGAAGATCCCTCTGCTTGGTGGTATGATCTGTTGTGATAATCTCTAATATTTCCAATATTTCAGCACATAGCATATAAGAAATGGAGTATCCAACTATTATGAGGCACATAAGGCAGCAGATCTCAAGGTGAGGATGTCAAAATCTGTTGCCCATTTTCTTGTAATTAGGATAAGATTATCCTAATCCGAATCTCATTAGCATCACTAAAACTCAACTTTGCGCTTTTAAAATGTGTTCTAAATTCCAGGGAGAGTTTTAAGTATGATGATAACTCAGCTTGATCTGTTTTTGTTTTAGTATTGTACCTATTTTTGCTGTAACTTTCTTCTTGTTCTCTAGACGGGACTGAGCGGCGCACTCGAAACGCTTTGTGGGCAAGCATTTGGCAGGAAGCTTTATGGGAAGATGGGGTTGTATCTTCAAGGCTCTTGTATCTTATCATTCTTTTGTTCCATCATTGTTTCAGTGTTGTGGATTTACACCGAACGTATTCTAGTCTTGCTCCATCAAGAACCCGAGATTTCGAGGATATCTGCAACGTATATGAAGTTTCTCATCCCAGGATTATTTGCTTATGGCTTACTACAGAACATCCTGAGGTTTCTTCAGACACAATCTGTTGTCATGCCTTTGATTTTCTTCTCTGCAGTGCCAATGCTCGTCCACTTAGCGATTACATATGGTCTGGTTCACTGGACGCGTCTCGGTTTCAACGGAGCTCCATTGGCCACATCGATCTCGTTATGGATGTCATGCCTGATCTTAGCTATATATGTACTTAAAGCAAAGAAGTTTGAGAAATCTTGGCAGGGCTTTTCATCCGAAGCTTTTACCTATAGTCTTTCAAGCTTAAAACTAGCTCTTCCATCTGCAGCAATGGTGTGGTAAGCATCCTCTTTCCCTCTTGAATGTAACTTACACTGATATCATTCATAACTCATGGACCTTTCATGTTTTTTATCGTTCTAATCCATTGAAGTTTGGAGTATTGGGCGGTCGAGATTATGGTCTTTTTAGCCGGGTTGATGCCGAACCCTGAAACAAGTACTTCACTGATAGCAATGTGGTTAGTAAATCTATTTTTCCATGTTCTTCTGATATGAATGCAATCCTTCCATTGTTCTTACTTGGTTTGGTTTCCATACCTGATTTTTTTAGTGACAACACGGAAACCATTGCTTACATGATCACTTGTGGTCTCAGCGCTACAGTAAGGTTCGTTATTACATAGTTTGAACAATTGCGTCTCAGTAGTTTAAACTTGGTTTTAATATTGTAACTGCCCAAACCCACACTTTCGGCTTTCTCTTTCGGGCTTCTCCTTAAGGTTTTTAAAACACGTCTGCTAAGGAGAGGTTTCCTCACCTTTTATAAAAAAGGTTTCATTTTCCTCCCAACTGATGTGAGATCTCACAATAATGTAGTCCTGTTATCGTAATCTATCAGCTTATCCTGCCCCTTAGTTTTGAAAGTTCTCCTTCTCAAACAAATGGCATTTTGTAGCAGCACAAGGGTCTCAAATGAGTTGGGAGCAGGCAATCTTGACAGAGCCAGAACTGCCATGTTTGTGACTCTCAAGCTTGCTGTCCTCGTCCCTCTTCTAGTTGTTTTGGCACTTGCCTTTGGCCAAAGCACCTGGGCTAGCTTCTTCAGCAACAGCGTTACAATAACAGACAGTTTTTCTTCCATGGTGCCGTTGCTCGCTATCTCGATAACATTGGACTCGGTGCAAGGCGCCATATCAGGTTCAGTACTAAAAAGCTTCATTCCCATTCAACACTGCTTTGTTTCTCATAAGGTCTCATTGAACTGCAGGGGTGGCTAGAGGTTACGGTTGGCAGCACTTGGCTGTATACATAAACTTGTCCACGTTCTACATTGTCGGTGTATCGATATCGATCCTTCTCGGGTTTAAGCTTAGATTATATTCTAAGGTGACAAACTTTACACACGATTGTTCTAACTACGTAGTCAAAGACATTGGTATGAATCTTTGTTCTTCACTTTCTTGTTGATTTGATATGATGCAGGGTTTATGGATCGGATACATCTGTGGTCTCTCGTCGCAAACTGCTTGTCTTCTTTTGGTCGTTTTGTATGCAAAATCGATTGAAATGGATCGATCTGATAATAAAGTAAAAGATATAGCTCTTTTAGTTTAGTTCATATAAGAGAATTATATATTTTCATTTTTAAAGTTGGTTCCCAATGACTTTTTTCAAATGCTTAAAAACATTGTTTTTTTTTAGTATTAAAAATTATTTTTTCGTTACTTAAATATACTTTTAATTTTGTTATATTTTATCGTAAGTATTTTCACTCTCGAGTAGAATAAAAAAAAATATATTAATTAATTAATTTAAAATGGATGAATTCTATGGGAGTTTTAAATAATATTATACGGAAATAAAGATACATGACAAGGGTCTTTTATACCCTTAAAAGGTGTTTTTGGTCTTTTCACATTCAATTTTCATTTATTTTAGTATATTTCAAAATGTTTTTACAATTTATTATTATTTTTATCTGAAATGTATAATTAATAATTCAACTTTTAAATAATTTTATTAAAATAATTTATTTGAAGATAATTATTAATATCAATATTTAATAAACTCAAAAATAAAAAAAATTGTAAAATTTGGATAACTTTTCATTTAACTGTCAATCAAATTATAAGGATTAAATGGTAAAAAGCAAAAAATATGGGGACTAAAATGTAAAAAGTGAAAGTTGAAAGTAAGAGGAAGAAAGGGCAGTGAAGGTATATCCGTTCTCTATCCTTCTTCTCTGATCTCTGTTGAATCACTCAAATGGCGATGGCTTCACCTCTGGCCGTCAATGGAGTCAAGTTGGCTACGACTTCTCTAGCTTATGTGGACACCAAGGCTGCAAACAATACGAAGGCTCTGATGGCGGAGCTTTCCCGCCAATTCTACGGCCTCCGATTGGTTTCCAGCCCCGCCGGTAGCATTGCCATCAAGGTTCACGACCACTCCATTCCCAAGGGACAACACACAATCTCTTTGTCACATTCCGGTGAGAATTTCTCCATCTTTCTCTTTCTAATTCAGTTCCTTGGGAATGTGATTTTCCTTTAGTCTTTTTGGTGTAGAATTTTTTTTTATTATGGTAATTCCTTCTGCTTCAGTCTTTTTGGCTGTTTGTAACTGCCGTATGAATATGGCTAGGCGTCGTTGTAATTCAAACTAGTTCTTGTTGGGAGGATATCCAATTTACCCTTCTCTTTGCAGAAGAAGATGATCTTAATGGTTCACGCCATCAAGAACTATAGCATAAGATCACCTGTTTTTTTGTTTGGCAAGAGTATAAAGGGCTTTGAATTCACGGATTTAGATGAATTTTCTTTTGCTTTTGTTTGATTATACACAGGTGTTAAGAAGGAGAGAATGCTCGCGGAGGACACCTGCATGTTATCTTATGGTGGGTCAATCTTATATTCACCACCTCCAAAGCCATTTTCTCACAAGCTCCCGAACTGTTTGGATGGTAGACCTCTTTTTATGAAGGTATAGTTCCCTGCATAAGAGTATAATCAACTTGTGATGAATAGAAAATACATAGTTATGCTATAAATGAGCTAATGTTCATATAAGCAATGTCTCCTATACCTCGAGACATTAACTTCACTGATCTTTGCATGATCGACCAACCTTTTTCGTTCTTATTTGATTGCCAAATCCATCCACCACAACCAAATTTGTGTTTCTTATTAAAAACAGCAACAATAACTATTGTTGTGGCATTACTTTAAGTTAGGAGAAGGTTTTGTTTTGTTATTTTGGGTAAATCTCAAACTTATTCAGCATTGTATGTGCCTTTTCTTATCGTCCCGTTTTATTTGATAGAAACCTTCGAATGAGAAGTTCCTTTGAGCTTTGTAGATGATGAAACCTCTGATTTTAAACAGTTTCAAGAAATTGATTTTGGGTCTGTCTTGCTTTCATTCGGTCTCAGTAATCAATAACTTAATTTTACAGGCTGATTGTTGTCACTATCTCTTTGATGCTGCTATTAAGCTTCGTCAACTAGGCATTGATTAGTCTTCTCCAACTCAGGATCCTTTCGGGAGCATCAAAGGAATTTCAAGCAAAATTTCTGTGAAGGCTGGGGCTCAAGGTTTAAATAATGAAAACAAACCATTGCCAGTGAGTTGAAGTGCATTTTGTTTAATTGGGAAGCTTAAAGTTTTAGCCTTTGATTTTTCATTCTTTTCTTTTACCTTTGAGGTATATCATTTTTGTATCTGGGTTAGGAATCTTCTTTTCAATTGTGGTTCATTTCTCATTTATATTTTCGATGCAGCGTTGCATAGTTCTTGATATCGAAGGGACTACTACTCCAATATCTTTTGTTACTGACATACTCTTTCCATATGCTCGTGATAACGTTGGAAAGCATTTGATTTTAACGTATGAAACTGCAGAAACCCAAGATGACATTATGTTATTGCGTTCACAAGTAAGATATTTTGGTTCAACAGTATTTTGATTATGTTGCAGTCTGTAGAATGTCTACGATCTATTTACGGTATTTATTTGAGCATTGTTAGTTAAACAGGAATAGCGTGTGCGTTCATGAGTTAATATGTGATACAGAAATCTCCTCCTACCAGTAAATTCAATTTGTTTGAGATCTCACATCGGTTGGAGAGGAGAACGAAACACCCTTTACAAGGGTGTGGAAATTTCTCCTAGCAGACGTGTTTTAAAAACCTTGAGGGTAAGCCCGAAAGGAAAAGCCCAAAGAGAACAATATCTGCTAGCGGTGGGCTTGGGTTGTTAGAAATGATATTAGAGTCAGACACCAAGCAATGTGACAGCAAGGAGGCTGAGCCCCGAAGGGGGTGGACATGAGGCAATGTGCCAACAAAGATGTTGGGCCCCAAAGGGGTGGATTTAGTGGGGGTCCCACATCGATTGGAGAAAGGAACGAGTGCCAGCGAGGATGCTGGGCTCGGAAGGGGGGTGGATTGTGAGATCTCACATCGGTTGAGGAGGAGAACGAAACGCCTTTTATAAGGGTGTGGAAACTTCTCCTTAGAAGACGCGTTTTAAAAACCTTGAAAGGAAGTCCGAAAGGGAAAGCTCAAAAAGGATAATATCTACTAGCGGTGAGCTTGAACGGTTAGAATTTGGTACTTGAGAGGCTATTTGGGATTTGTTTTCACAATTTTCTGTTCCAGATTCAGAGAAAATATGTTTGGATAACCAAATTCTAAAAGTTCTAAATTTTCTGATGAATCACTACGTCGTTGATGTGAGCATTTATCAATAAAACTGTGTTTCAGGTTGAAGAAGATTTGAAAAAAGGTGTCGCTGAAGCTGTGCCCGTCCCTCCTGATAATGCTGGGAAAGAGGAAGTCATTGCAGCATTGGTTGCTAATGTTGAAGCAATGATAAAAGCTGACCGCAAGATAGCTGCCTTGAAACAATTGCAAGTATGCAAGTAAAATGATTCTCAATTTATCTTACTACAATTCATTTGGCAGATTTTCTGAGTGAGCTGACTTCTAGCTATGCAGGGTCACATATGGAGAACAGGATTTTCAGGGAATGAATTGGAGGGAATAGTTTTTGATGATGTGCCAGAGGCTCTTGAGAGATGGCATGCTTTGGGCATTAAGGTTGTTCCCTTCCACCTCTTGATTCTTGCTAAAATCAGTACAAGTTTCTATTTGAGATTAAGTAGGAAAAGGTCTTCTCAATGTTCTAACTCCCGCGCTGGACCAGATGTAGACTGAACTATCTTGGGATGTTCAAAATCCAACTCGCCTCTTGCTTTAAAGGAAGAATGATCACGTACAGTTTCCTGAGAAGGGAGTGGCTACCTATTGGAGCTTCGACTGACTACCATCAGTCAATTCGACTTTGGGGCCACAACCTTTTTCTAACCCAAGTGACGAAGAAATGATGTGATTACTACTAAAATAAAAACGATATTTATTGATCTCTCTTAATTCAACAATCTAAGATTTGAATGGATGTCCTTTGAGTCCTCCAAAATTGCATTGATGCGTGGAGAAAGACTAAACTTAAGCATACTTGAGTCACTTTGAAGAAAAATTTTTGCAGATGTGTTCGAAGTGTTCCTCACAACATATTTAGAAAAGTGTAACGGCCCAAGCCTACCGCTAGCAAATATTGTCCTCTTTGAGCTTTCCCTTTTGAGCTTCCCCTCAAAATTTTTAAAACGCGTCTATTAGGAAGAGATTTCCACATTCTTATAAAGAATGTTTTATTCTCCTCTCCAACCGATGTGAGCTATGACAGAAAGATTAAACTCAGTTACTAAACTCAGTTATTAGATGAGACATATGATTTCATATTTGAGTTAGTAGTGACAGACCTGTCTAATAATAGATGTCGTGTGATTGATTTCCCTTCATTCTCATTTGGAATCCTGGTGATAATTGACCAAAAGTTCTCTGAGTCTCCGACAGACATTACGAACCAGTAATAACTTATATCGTTTCTGGCATGAACAGGTCTACATATACTCGAGCGGAAGCAGGTTGGCACAAAGGCTTATATTCGGAAAGACTAATTATGGTGATCTAAGAAAATACTTATCAGGATTCTTTGACACTGCTGTGGGGTAACCAATTTCTGTTCTTTTCATGTTATAATCATACTCGATATCACGAACATGATGGTGGAACTGCTCTTGTATCTCAGGAACAAAAGAGAAATAAGGAGTTATGTTGAGATTTCAGAGTCTCTTGGAGTTGATACACCATCAGAGATCCTGTTCATCACAGATGTCTATCAGGAAGCTGTAGCAGCAAAAGCAGCAGGTAGAGTCTCTCTACTTTTAGCTATTCTTTGCTGTTAGTTTTGGACGAAAAATTAGTAGAACCCGTTCGTGCTATATCGGAACTGCATTTGGCCAAAACGAAGTTCTTGTGACAAACTATCATATGGAGCTTCAAAAGAATTGCAGATTTACTTGTTTCATACTTGTTCAAATGCAATCCACGACGTTTCAGGGCTGCAGGTGGCCATCTCAATCCGACCAGGAAATGGTCCACTGCCTGATGATCATGGGTTCCAGACTGCCACTTCCTTCTCAGACATCACAGCTTGAGAGACTGTTCCAAGTAAGTTTAGCCTATTTTCTCCCATCTCTGCTAGTGATTGCTTAAAGTTTAAACTGAAGAAATATATATATATATAGCTGTACTTAATCTTGTCCTGGTCAAGCCTATGCAATAAAACTGAGTTCCAAATGAGTTTTTTGCTTCTGAAGTATTGTGGTTACTCTACCCATGGTTCGGCTGATCTTTCTTAATTATCGATTAGATCTAAAAGTAATCGGTCTTGGAATCTAAGAACTAGTTAGACTATGTTTAAATTATCGATTAGATCTAAAGGTAATCGAGCAGACCTGATAATCCACAGAAGACTCCACGGAGAGTTGTTGCGTGATTATCTTAGTCGTGGGATTGGCCCCGCATAAGGCTGAGGAACTAAGAAAAATTTGAACCTTTAGATTTATCCTTACCAATCTAGCTCACTTGTGATTTGAAAATTATGATCTTATGCATGTTTTGAATGATTGAGAGTCTTTCTTTATCCCTACGACTGTTGTTGTGATGATATCTCGTCTTTCCAATCAGGGTCGACTACTAGCTAGCTACAATAACAAATTGACGCGTAGACACTAATACACATCATCAAGTACGTGTTACAAGATGGAATAATAAACAAATAATTAATGAAATAATCTAAATTTAAATTGTGGATAAAAACATAAATAAAAATAAAAATTGAACTTCTTCCGGCAGATGAGCATTAAAGGGCGGTAACTCAAAACTCCGCGGGGCCCAACTGTTTCCAACAGTCACGTGCGTTCCACGTCATGAAATTTGAGCTCTCAGATTAAAATCCGACGGCCAACAACTGCTTTACAGGTAGGGTGTAACGAGTCCGTGAGTGGTCGAGTCAGCATCTGATAAAATCTCTCAGATCCTCCAACCGCCCAATCAAGATGTCATCAATGACATGATATTTTAGCTACTTAAAAATTTCAATTTAAATTCTATTTTGTTGACTTTTTAAATATTTATTTTATTATCCAAAATTTTTACTCAACTCATAATTATATTTATTTTATTTTTAATTATTTAATAAAATAATGATGGAATTTTGAGCTTGTATATTAACATAGCCATTGAATTATATGAATATTATAGTTGATTATGGCGAATATTAGCTAAAATATTATAAATACCTATCAAAATTATTAATTTATTAATTTATTAAGTTAGTTCATATTTGACATTTTATTCCTTCAAATTTAAAAGTAGGTCAAAATTCATAATCAATGGTAATTAAACTTATTTTTAAAATTTTATTTTTGTTTTGGAATTTAATTAAGAATAAATTAAAGTGTTCTAGATTCAATTATTACAATCATAACATTTAATGAAAAAGTGATTTTGAGTTGTCTTTTTTTATCTTCTAAAAATGTAAATTATTGAATAATTTAAAATTTTAAACAAGAGTTTGTCTTTTTCAAGTAAAATAATTATGTCCCTTTTGGATGTTGTACATTATTGAATGTTATTTCGTTTAATTATATCACTAACAATTAATTAAACCAAGATTACAATAAACAACAAAAACCAAATCTGCAGATAATTCATCATTAATAACAGAGATTAATTTATCAATCATGAAAATCTAAACTAAACTTTGGGTAAAAAAATCAAATCTGTTCAGATAGAACACCAAATTCCGCCATTGTTGAAAGTTGAAATGCACAGAAGCTTATAAGATAAGCTGAAATTCACATCAAATGGGAGGAAATTGTGGGGGGCGAAATGGAAAGTTAGGCAAAAACAATGGAAAATCACAAACTTAGGTGCAATAAATCCGAACCCCAAAGAACATAAAAGGCTGTTTTCCTCTCTTTTTGCCTTTTTTTTTTCTCCCAAATCTCTCTGTGATGCAAACACTTGTCCTTCTCCTTCCCCTTTTGCCCGAAAAAGCTATTCCCTCATTTCAATTTCGATCTCTCTAAATCCGTTCGTTGTTCTTTATAATTCCCTCCTTGTTTCTTACACCAACGCCATTGTTCTGCTCCAATCACAGAGAACGGCAGGTTTCTCTCTCTCTCTCTCTCTCTCTCTCTCTCTCTAGTTCTTCGTGTTCTTGTTGCGTTTCTCTCTGTTTCTTCCTTGTCTTTTACGTATTCTCTTGCCCCCATGGACGATTCTTGCTTCTTTACATTGTTTTTGTCTTCTGGGTATTCCTGTTTCATCCTCCCAATAGATTTTCCCCTGGTGGGTATTGGGGAAATCGTTTGTTTCTTGAATCCCTTCCTCATATTGATTTGATTCTTTGATGGGTTTCTTTGGATTCTTGTGATTTTGTTTCTGTTCAATGATTTAAGGATCTGTTCATCTGGGTTGCTCTTGTTCTGGATGATTTTTATGGCATTTCCTTCTTTTAGACTGTTTCTTCATGGATTCTCTGTAATGAACAAGTTATTTTCAATGTTCATCGCCCATTTCTTGTCTGATTTGGAATGTACAGGTTAGGGTTTCTTAAGCTGTTCTTATCTAGTTTTGGTTTAGAATTCTGGGTTGTGTTCTTATTTTCCTTTAAGAACTTACTGATTTGAGGCCTTTGTGTATTTGTTATATTCATCAACGTTGTGTATAAGTATGAACTATTGATTTATTGCATTTGTTTTGTTTCTCAAGGGTCTTGGTCCAAACTTCAACAGCTTGGGGTTGTCATTTGGTGCCTTGATCTTATCAAAAGACTAGCAAATAAGCTAGACCCTGCCGTCAAGAATGATATATAGAAACTAGAGTTGATATCAATCCATGATAAGATCTTGTGATGGGGTCTATGAACATGGAGAGGAAATGGATGTTTCCTCTCGTGTTAAGCTCTCTCATGTTCATATTTCTTCTTGTCACCTTATTCAACCTTGGTCTTGTCTCCTCACTTTACACAATCAATTCATTTTTCGCAATCTTTCCCGCTCAAATGAAGACTATAAACAACACGGGTGCCGTTTTTGCTGAATCAAAGATCGTTCAACCTTCACCTCTTAACGAACCAACGATCCCTCGTTTTGCTTATTTGATTTCTGGATCAAAGGGTGACTTGGAAAAGCTATGGAGACTCCTTAAAGCATTGTATCACCCTTTGAATCAATATGTTGTCCACTTAGACCTCGAGTCACCGGCGGAGGAACGTTTGGAATTGGCCTCCCGGGTCAGTAACGAGTCGCTTTTTGTTGAAGTTCAGAATGTTTTCATGATCAGCAAGGCTAATATGGTTACTTATAGAGGACCCACCATGGTGGCTAATACTCTTCATGCTTGTGCCATCCTTCTTAAGAGGAGTAGGGACTGGGATTGGTTCATCAACCTCAGTGCTTCTGATTATCCTCTTGTGACTCAAGATGGTTTGTTCATATCATTTAGCTTATGAACTTGGAATGAACTTATTTGATTTAATGAACTTTCATTGGTTTTGCATTGCAGATCTTCTCTATACGTTCAAAAATTTGGATCGAAGCTTAAATTTTCTTGAGCATACAAGCCAGTTGGGGTGGAAAGAGTTAGTATAGTGTTCTTTCATCTCTTTCATATTGGCCCATATTGTATAACTTGTTCTTATACTTGCTCACTTGATTGTATTTACAGGGAAAAACGAGCAATGCCGTTAATCGTAGATCCCGGTCTGTATTCGAAGACCAAATCAGATATTTTCGACGTCAATCCATCTCGAACTTTGCCTACAGCGTTTAAATTGTTTACTGGTTCGTGTTCCTCTATAAACCTTTGTTCATTTTGCCTTATCTTCCTAGTGTTTGAAAGTACATTGGGATCAATTGATTTGCATAGGAGTTTTGTGTGATTCCATGTCGGTTTGAGAGGAGAACGAAGCATTTCTTGTAAGGGTGTGGAAATCTCTCCCTTGTATACACGTTTTAAAACTGTGAGGTTGATGGTGATATGGAACGGGCGAAAGTGGACAATATATGCTTGTGGTGGGTTTGGGCTATTACAAATGGTATTAGAGCCCGATATTGGGTGGTGTGCTTGCGAGGATACTGGGCTCACAGGGGGTGGATTGTGTGAGCTCACGTTGGTTTGAGATGGGAACGAAGCATTTCTTGTAAGAGTGGAAACCTCTCCCTAATAGACGCGTTTTAAAATCACGAGGTTGACGGCGATACGTAATAAGTCAAGCAGACAATATTTGCTTGTGGTGGGCTTAGGCTATTGCAAATGGTATGAGAGCCAGACATCGGGCAGCGTGCCAGCGAGGACGCTGGGTCCCCAAGAGGGTGGATTGTGTGATCCCACATCATTTTGAGAGGTAACGAAACATTTCTTATAAGGGAGTGGAAACCTCTCTCTAGTAGACGACGTTTTAAAATCGTGAGGCTAACGACGATATGTAATGGGCCAAAGTGGACAATATCTACTAGCGGTAGGCTTGGACTGTTATAAGTTTGAACTAGTCTGTACTTTGTAGTGCTCTTTCTTTCCTCATCCAGTAGTTGAGTAGATTCGGTTTCGAGGGGTTATAACATGCCCCAAATGTTAAAATTTGCTTGTAAGGAAGATGCTTTGTATGTATCAGTATTGCCAGCCACTCAACGACCTGCGTCGTTGAATCTTTCGAGCGATCAAATAACACAACTCTCTTCTGCAGGTTCGGCATGGATGGTTCTATCTCGTGCGTTCGTGGAATACATCATTTGGGGTTGGGATAATCTTCCAAGGACTCTTCTCATGTACTACAGTAATTTTGTGTCCTCTCCTGAAGGTTATTTTCACACTGTCATGTGCAATGTGCCCGAGTTTGCTACTACAGCAGTGAACCACGACTTACACTATATCTCTTGGGACAACCCCCCGAAACAGCATCCACACACGCTAACTCTTAACGACACAGAGAAAATATTCACAAGCAATGCTGCCTTTGCTCGGAAGTTCAAACAAGATGATCCCGTGCTAGATCGAATCGACAAGGATTTGCTTGGTCGAAAGAAAGGAGACTTCACTCCTGGTGGTTGGTGTGCAGGCCACCCTAAGTGTTCGACAGTCGGTAACCCGAATAAACTCAAACCAGGCCAAGGAGCTCAACGGCTTCATCGTCTTATAGCTAGACTGGTTTTGGCCAGTAGGTCTGGGGAAAACCAGTGTAAATGAATTTTGTACAAGTAAAACTCGAGAAGGCAGAAGCAGAGAAGGGGAGACAGCTATCTCCCGGGTTCGTTCGAGCATCAACTCGAAGAACGGTGCATTGCTGAAGTACAGGGAGCAGAATTATACAGACCATGGCTACAGCAAACATTATAAACTAAAGGTTAGCACCAATAGTAGCATTAAATGCATTTTTCCACAGGTTGGGATAAGTAGAGCTTGAGCTCTACTGTTTATGTAAAAACTTTATCCCATACTCCCTTTCTATACATGCTTCATTTTTTTCCCCTTTATAGTATATGCTTTCTTATTTAGATATTGCAAGTCAGTTGATTGTCCAAACTGCCCTTGTATTTTGAATGGGAAACGAATCGAATAATTGAATTGGACACTTTATGGTCATTTTGCTAGTTCTTGCCTTTTGTGTCACGACTGTCACACGTCCCTTGTCTTTTGTGACGGTGACCAAAATCTAAACTAAATCCAAAGTGTTAAAATGTTAAATTTAAAAACTCGAGGATCAAAATGCAACTAAACTCAAACTTCAGCCTGTCGTAAATATCAATATCTTCAAAATTGAGATGTTGTCGATATTTTCGCCCTTGAAATCATTGCAAGTAATGGATAAGAAGAGAATGTGGTAGTAAAATCTTTCTGGTCTCCAACAATTCTCTAGACAATGTCATATTCACTTGAACTATACAGCCTAAGAGGCCAATTTCAGAAATACAAATTCTCTACAAGAATGGCCAAAATATTCAGAGCCTACATAATTTGCAACCAAGTTACACGTGTTACCTTGCGAGCGTGTACAAGAAGAGAGGAAGGTTTTCCGACCCTTTTTTGTCTAAAAAAACTAGGAGGACTTCCCTGTACAACCGGACAGTCATTTGATCACCATTTCTAGAGTAGTATCTGCTCACCTAACAATGAACACTTAACATTTGTTGTCGTTCCATATCTACCGATCTCCTCGCTTAATGACCGGAGACGAATAATGAATTTGTTGACATCTGTTTCCCGTCGGCTTGAACCTTCCGTGCCTTTGCCTTGTCAAGCCGAGCTCGTCTTACTGCTTCTTGGATATGGCGATCGTGGTCCTTGAACATTTGGTCCATGTTGCTTGAGGGAACCAGTAATGGACCAGAGTAGTGAATCTTATGACCCTTTGAGCCATAACCCACCTGTTGTATTAGTATTATGTACATGAACAGACACTCAGAAAACCATGGTAAGAGCAAATAGCTCAGCTTTACTGGCTGATATCGACAATCTTAGTAACGTAAAAAACGATGGCAATGCAAGAAAAAATGCACTAGAAGGCATGGTACGATACGGCGTTTGTATACTTACAACTATAGGGTCTTTGGTGCTGCTCCTCTCTTTGTCATGTGAGCCTACAATACTGTGATTTGAGAACTTCTGGCCCGGTAGCATCGACGACTCTGAGGTTTCTTTGAAGGAACCAGGAAACCTGCCAATTAGTTTTTTAACCTCTCCTTGTGAAGAGTCAGACTTTTCCCTGCAATCTTCAGCCAGCATACTTCTTCTAGCTGCAACTAGTCCTGAAGTTGCGAACGATTCGGCCTCGGTTGAAATTTTGGGAGCGTCATCAGAGTTCTTACTAGCCTTTGCCCAAGCAGCCCGCTGAGCAAGTGGCCCTGAATGTGAGGCTTTCTTAGGATGACGCACGAGAGAATCCATTCTTTCTGCTCCTTGTGAAGGTCTAGGTGGATCGATAGGAAAACCCGATGCTTCTTCTAGATGTGGATTAAACTTCTCACTCCGGCTCTTTGAATTGAACTGACCTTGTCGTTTCTGCAACGAGTAATCTTATTAGCAAAACATTTCAAGAGAAAAACAGAGCAGTTAGACAGACTTTGAATAATGTCATGGATAGGTCGACGTCGATGGGTTAGAGGAAGGGGCCAAAAAGTTTCCAAGTCATCGAAAACCATAAAAACGAGCATGAAAGTCAACTGAAATACACCAGTTCCCCAGCTAAATTGCAACACCCCTTTAACATGGTTCAACAGAATGTTACCTGCATTGATGAGGCTAACTCGGCATTGGCATCAGGTGCAGGGACGGCTCGAGACTCACTATTTTTCCTTTGCAGGTCAAGTCGGTGTCCCTTGCTTCCTACTGCTCCTTGTCTACCAATTTAACCACAGGAAGTTATTTATAAACCATGTAAATTGTTTTCATAGCACTACAGATTGGAAAAGTACAGTCCGATAACCGGGTAAAAGATCACAAATCACGATCAATCGACCTCCCTAAATAAATTGACAGTACTCCAGGTTGGTGGTACTGAAAGATAACTCGAGTTTAATTTATTCCAAGATTCATTAAGAATATCAGACATTAAAATTTTAATTCCTTGTGAGATTTCAGCGAGGAAAGTAAGTTGATAAATGAACAATCCAATACCTTCTAGCTTCCTCATCCCTTATCTTGGCATCCAATTCTTTGCTGGGAGGATACTTTGGCAAGCTTGAAGAATCACAAGGAAGAGGCTTTGTTGAAAAGAACTGAAATGAACCATCCAAAATAGACCCAACATAAACAAATTGTACTTACCAAATCAAAATAACAGAAAAAAACATACGAAAAATACCGACCGAAAATAAAAAAGTCTAGAAAAAATAATAGCATTGTATAAAGTTTTTGGTGTTAGAAATAAAACCATATAATAATATGTAGAGAATTATTCCGGTGGAACTCATCTTGTAACAGTCCAAGCCCACCGCTAGCAAAACTGTCCTCTTCGAGCTTTCCCTTTCGAGCTTCCCCTCAAGGTTTTAAAAACGCGTCTGTTAGGGAGAGGTTTCCACACCCTTATAAAAAATATTTCGTTCTCCCCAACCGATGTGGGATCTCACAATCCACCACATTCGAGGCTCAGCGTCCTCGCTATCACTCGTTCCCTTCTCCAATCGATGTGGGACCTCCCAATCCACCCCCCTTCGGTGCCCAACGTCCTTGTTGGCACACCGTCTCGTGTCCATCCCCCTTCGGAGCTGAGCCTCTTCGCTAACACATAGCCTGGTGTCTAACTCTGATACCATTTGTAATAGCTCAAGCCCACCAGTAGCCGATATTGTCCTCTTTGGGCTTTCCCTTTGAGCTTACCCTCAAGGTTTTTAAAACGTGTCTTCTAGGGAGAGGTTTCCACACCCTTATAAAGAATGCTTCGTTCTCCTCCCCAACCGATGTGGGATCTAATATATTATAACCAAAGTGACAGGGGCTCTCCCTTCCTAGCATTATGTTAATGGCTTCCCATAGTTAATCTCCAGAGAGGCTTCACCAAATCAAGGTCCCGGAGACAACAAGATTTTAAGTTACTAAATTTTGAGCAAGGGCTTGAACCAATGGGAATCAATGGCCTTAGAGAATAACTCCAAACATTCTAAGCCCATACCACTAGGACTCCCTTTAAACAGATCTACACAACTCGACTCAATAAATACGATCTACAGTCTACGATGACTTCAAAAATGCCGGGATGAGAGAGCATACACGAAGGGATAAGAAACGTACACACTTGATGAAGATTGGATACTCTGATATAACAGTATTATAAGAAAGAAATGTATCACCCAACACAACATACTTCACTTTTAAGGGCGAGAGCAGCAGAGCCACGATCAGCAGGATCTACCGAGAGTAACGTCTCAATGAGAGCTAAAGCTGGTGCAGGGAAATCCTTAAACGTGTCTGCAACACAACGTCGATAGGGCTGTTGGGGCTTAAATATCGTTGCATGTGGCAACCTTGATTTTCTCCAATAATCCTCTGAAGGAGAGCCACAGAGTTTAAATATTTTATGTAGCTGTTCCACCTAAAACATATAAATCAAGTGTCAATACTTGATCTAAAGAAAAGCTAGGAAATCATGATTCCAAACATGTGATAGAAACATCGAAACGTGAGCTACGAGTTTTGTAAAATTAAAAATAATATACCTCTGTTCTTCCTGGCATAATGGGCTTCCCAGCATACAATTCAGCAAGTATGCAGCCAGTACTCCATAAATCTACAGCTATACCATAATAAGTAGCGCCAAGTAAAAGCTCAGGCGGTCGATACCAAAGAGTCACAACCCGACTTGTCAGTGGCTGATTTTGGTGGATATCAAAAAGACTTGCTAAACCAAAGTCAGCAATTTTCAAGATGCCATTGTTGTCAATTAAAAGGTTCGAGCCCTTTATGTCACGATGTAGAACTCCATGACTGTGACAATGATCGAGTCCCCGTAAAAGTTGCTGCATGTAACACTTGACCTGCCCCGAGATAAATTACACTTAAGATTCAGAATTAATAAGTGAACCGAGAGCATGCAGATGAGCGTCTTGGAATGCTAAAATCCAGCAGTTACCTGCGCCTCTGTAAACTTCACGCCAGGGTGTGAAGCAAGTCCTGCCAAGTCATGTTCCATGTACTCGAAAACAAGATAAAGGCTGCAAGACATCCTTGATGTGACTAGACCCTCCAGCTTTATTACATTTGGATGATCGAGTCTACGCAATATGTGAATTTCCCTAGCCATAAAGCGGACGCTCTCGGGTTCTAAGTTGTCGAACCTTACTTTCTTCAAAGCAACGATTTTCTTTTGGTCAAGGTCACGAGCTCTATATACATTACTATAAGTTCCTTGGCCAATCTGCACAAATACACATTTTACGACTATTACAATCATCCTAATCTGCACATATACGCATTTTACGACTATTACGGGGTTTGAGTCAGTTACGAGCAAGCCAATGACAAAAATTCTAAAGCAAAACATCAAAAGAACATACTTTATCCAATTTCTCGAAAGAATCAGCTCGTCGGGGTAGCCAGCCTCTGATTGCCTCTCCAGCAACTGCAGCCAGCCATGAAGGCCACCCGGCAGCAACGTGGTCTCCCTCGGCTGCCTTCGGAATTCTACCCATTGAAGGATGTTGAGCACCCATATGCTCCATCTTCTCCCTCTTCCTCTCAAAATCCTCACCCTGCATTCGACCCGACCCATTAACTTGCTTGTCAATCAACATCACTCTTGCATCATTACCATCATGCTGATCTTTAGATCGATACACTTCTTCCCTTGTCGATGAAGTCACTCTCGCCACACGCAGGTCAGACGAGGTCTTACTCGACAGCCTCTCCCTTGGACTTTCCTTGCTATCTTCAATAGCAGAGGGCTTACAACAAACGGAACCCATTATGTAAAATAACCACCCCCAACAATACCCCCTTTCAGAATCAATACTCACCCTTCAAATCATCCAATACTAATATATCCTCCTCTTCTAACATTCCCATAACGCGAAAACTCAACAAAAACTCAGGAACTAAACCTAAAACACCCACAAATTAGCTCATTACAACAGCAATTAGCATCCAATACT